TAATACAATTTGTTAACATATAAAAATGGGATGGGGGTGGGCGCTGTTACTATTAGAGGTGAAGTAGATTGGAGGGAATGCGTACTGCGTGGAAGTGTTATCGTACCACTAAATATTAGTCTTGATGGAATAATACAGACCAATTTGTTAACATATAAAAATGGGATGGGGGTGGGCGCTATTACTATTAGAGGTGAAGTAGATTGGAGGGTTGCTAAATGGGATCTTTTAATTACCGTATTCCTCCGAAAATAAGCAACTTTTTTTTGCACATAATCCCGGCTAAGATTTAGTAATGCAGGCCAAAAATCGGTATAATGCGGCCATGTTGCTTATTTTCGGAGGAATATGGTGATTTGAAATAGATTATTTACTTTTATAAAACATTTAGAATTGTAAATTTAACACTTTTGATTATTCATCTTTCAACTTTTAATCTTAAATAAATGTAAATTATTCTGATACTTTAATTATTAAAAGGACATGGTTTCATTTGTTATTACTATAGAAATTTGAATTCAGAGTCGTTGTTACAGGAATATCACGAATTCGTTAAATCAAAAGAAAAGGACAGGCTATACTAATTTAAACATTAAAAAGGAAAAAAATGAGATTATTTTCTAGATTTTTAAGTTAGCTCTTAAACAAAATTCCAATGAAGGTTCGGCAGCTTTTCATTCCAAATTTAAGCTAAATTGCTCGTTCATGTTACTACGCCACATTGTTGAAACATCAATAGGAATGAGCTCGCATTGACTCATTTGTGATATAATGAGACCGCGATTTACTATTATTCTAACTTACGGTATCACGTGACATCAAAGACACATTTTTATCGACTCGTTCGATTTTCCATATTATCGCTTCAGCTTACAAAATATGTCAAGATCTTTGATTTTTGACTCAACCGATTTAGATTTTATGTACAATTCGCCATTAAGTAATTTGAATATCTGCTGTTAAACATGTATAACGGCCCATGGTCATTGAATATAAATACATCAAAGTTCTTCCTTTTGATCTTAAAACAGACGCATTTAGTAACATCATCGTTGAATATAATAATCGGCGAGAATTCATGTATAAGAACGTGTCATTCCGGAATATCAGGTTGCAAGTTTCCAACGACACTTTTAAATTAATAAGGAAATGGGCCATATACGCAATGATGACAAGATCTATTCCCCACTTGAACTATTGGCCAGCAAGATACCTTATTTTTGCAAAATCAGTTATGATCTACCCGCTAGCAACGATGCCATTTTTACAGGATCTTGTTGAAACCTTGTTACACAATTATCATATGTTTACAGCCGGAAAAACTCCAAAACATTTCATTTTTTTGAAACTTGATTTATGTTCATCAATTGAAATTTTTGTTTTTGTTTTTCGTTCCTAAATAAAAAAAAAAAATAAAGAAAAATATAAATAAGTTACACGTTCTTATATTGATATCTACTGCGCTTGAATAGAAATCTTGCAAAAAATATCTTTGTTCCTTAATATTAGGCAAATATTATTAACTGCTACAAACCATCCATTTTCTCTTTAAAAATAAGCCTCTTCGGAACTACCTATCCATATTCCAGAATCAATATTTCACAACATCAATGGACTTTAACTTGTATTTAAATCTTTTTGAACAAAAAAAAAGCAGAAAACATATGATTGCAAATTATGAAAAATGGTTGAAGGATTTAGAACGAATGCCTAACAAAAAGATGTATCACCTTATCGCTACCAACAATTTCGGTTATAGGCGAATTTCTCAAAATATCATCAACCTTGAATTAAAAGATAGAATATCCATAGCAAACTTAAAATTAGATAAAGTACACGTCGGAAAGTTTTTGTTGTGTCGAGTGATAAACAGGTGTGCCAAGACGACCCCCTCTTTACCCTCATAGAAGATCCTGAGGGCGAGGTTGAACGAATTGCTTTATATAATTGGGTCGAACAAACCGCTCTTCCCGCCAAAGATCGGGAAAAAGTATTTACCATTAAGCAGGCATCAAAGCTTCTACCTATAGGCACTAAACTTGCAATCAAAAATCCCTACTATCAAGTTGCCTCTAGTTTTGACACCTTAATTCATACAGATGGTCCCAGTATTACCACCGATTTTGACTCAATTATTCGCTCAGATAACCCCAAAGACGTCATTGTAATCAATCAAGATAATGAGCTGTTTAATAAAATAAAGTGGTCCAAGGATCTGGGAAAAAGAAAGAATGACAATGGTAAAAATGAGTTATCAGTTGATGACGAGAAGAAGCTTGGGACCGCTGATGACTTCCGTCAGAGCGGGAATCAATATTTTATTTCAAATGATTTTGCCGCAGCCGTTGACGAATATTCGAGTGGTATCGAACTAGAGCCACATAACGTCACTTTGCTTGCCAACCGCGCAGAGGCTTATTTGAGGTTGGGTCGATTTGAAAAAGCTCTCACAGATGTAGAAATCACTCTCAATCGTGAACCCGATCATTTGAAAGCAGCTGTTCGCAAAGGCAAAGCTCTGATTGGTCTCATACGTTATCAAGAAGCCATAATCACACTTAAAGATGTGAATCTAATGATGCAAACAAGCACCAATAATGATGAGATTTTAATTACTTCCATTAAGCAAAGCGCTAAAGAATTGTTAAAACGTGCGGAAATGTTTGATTCTGAAAACCGGTATGGACGATATGATTACAAAAGTATCATTGATGAGTTTTGCGAAAAGGTTGCAATTAAAAGCAATAATCAAGACAATGATGATTGGGTTTGTGGAACAGGGCCAAGATTAGACCATGCCGAATATTTGATTGATGATATCGAGATTCGTCCCGTGGAAAATAAAGGAAGAGGATGGATTGCCAAGCGGGACATTCCTGAAGATACTCTTTTAATGGTTTCCAAGGCATTCAAAGTTGTGTATGGTAATGAAGCTCCTTTAAGTTTTAGAAGTATTGATTTTACACCTGGAACCGAATCCATGAATACGGCAACGCATTCAGAATTAGCGAGCCGCATTGCCCAGGAACTCATAGCAGAACCGGAACTTTTCCGGGAAGTGTATCAGCTTTATGCTGGTCCGGATATGGTTCCCATGGAAAATCTCGACCAAGACTCGTTAAATTCGGTGGATACTAGAAGAATTGAAAAAATTGTTAAATACAACTTTTTCGAACCAATGGATGAATGGAATGTTTTATGTCGTGCTGGAGAAGATAGTCGATTAACCAAAGATTTCGGAGCGGGATTATGGATCTTGCCATCTTATTTCAACCACTCATGTGTTGATAAAAATATTCAAAAGCTAATTATTGGAGACATGATGTTTTTAAGATCTTTACGACCGATTTTGAAAGACGAGGAGTTAATTTTAGAGTATTGTTCACCATCGAGAACATATGAAAAGCGATCTTCGAAACTTAAGTCATATGGTGTAAATTGTCAATGTCGACTTTGCGAATTGGATAGATCTGAATCAAAACAAGTTAAACTTCGACGGGACGAAATCTCCGTAATTTATGAAAATTATCTCGGTCCTCAGGTGAAATCAACGCTCCATAGCCCTTATTTTGATCCTTCTCTCGTCAATGAATTAACAAATTTGATCGCTGAATCACACGAGCTACGAAAAGATCATCCAGACCTAGATTTTCTTGCATATGAAATGAAGAATGATTTGGCAATGGCATACGTGAAAGTCGGTAAACTCCGACAGTCTCTTCCTGTCACGAAGGAAATATACGATTTTTTGAAAACCATACAAATGTTCAGCTTAACTTGCGATGCCGCCTATCAAGTTTCATCTCGCTACGCTAGACTCGGACAAATGAAAGAAGGTAAGAAATGGTTTGATGTGGCACTGAAAGAGTTGGCAGAACCTATAAGAGGAAAATACAATAAAGAAGAAATCCATTGGAGGAAAGAGGCGTTGTATTTGGCGAAAAAGCTAACACCGAAAATGATCGTGGGCGCAAGGAATAAAGGACTTGTATCATGATCGCCATCGTAAATAATTCAATCGTAATCGAGTAATTTTGTCTATTAGCGAATATTAATCATTTGAATTTAATTTTTTAAATTTCTAATATATATAAAATTGTCCCTGATATAAAGGGAGGCATAAAGTAGTTAATTTTATAATAACGAGAAATAAATTGTTTAACGAATTAGTTATATCGTGTACAATAAATGACTCTTTGGCTATGAATGCTTAAATATAGTTTACAAACGAGATGAAAAATATTTACAATGACATATATTCCTCAATTGTAAAAACGCCAATATAGTAAATAATAATGAAGGCAAATCAATGGAATGGCATTATATGCTTATGCTTTAAAAAACATTTTTTTTTTTTTTTATTTATTATTTATTTATTTTGTTAAAAACGGATTTTAAGATCTTAACTCACCATCTAATTGCTATGAATAACTTAGCTACTATTATTCATTTTAATTTGAGTGTGTTTATAAAACGCAGTACTCATCAAGATGGAATGATATTGCAAGCGTTGATTTCTTTGCCTTTATGAAATGCGAGAAATTATTCAAACTTCTCGACGAAGAACACTCTTTTATTTTTATTTTTTTTATAAATAACTTGTTACATCCATTGTTAAGATAGGCATCTTTGTAACTCTAAAAATTCTTTAATTTTAGTGAAACTGAACTAACTGTATAGAATCGGAAGTTGAACTTCTATAAATGCACCCACTTGAGATCATACGCAAATCGATGGTGAGTACATTATTATTAAAGATTGCATTTGTGGATGAATATATCAAGAATATATTATTAATGGATTCTATAGCCATTAATTTCGACGGAAGACTTTTAATTTTATTATGGTTATCGAGTTTCGACGGTTTTGGCAATGACAGTGACCCCTTCGAAACCCAAGAGTTTAATGCATTTGTCTAAGTTTTAAGACAGGATCCGATCCACTTTCGATTTATTTTTGTATTGAGTGTAGTTTCCTCATAGGAGAAAATCTATATATTAGAAAGTACTGAAAAATGATTATATATTTTTATTGCTGCATTTAATCGATTACAAAGACGAAAAACATGGAATCATTTCAACACTGAGATTTTGAAAACTTGAAATATCTGGCAAATATTTGATTTTGAAATTACACTTTTTGCTTTATAAACTATTTGAATACTTTGCGAACATCTGGAGAAAGCATTTGACTGAGTCGTTTCCGCTATTTTCAAATGGCTGAATCAAATTAATATTGGAACAACATAAATCAAATTTAGATTCTCCAGTACAACTTTTAACATTGGGTGTAGATTCAGTCGAATTTTAAATCCCGACTGCAAAATTTTATTAAGTTTAAAAATTTTCAATTAAAATTTTTTTTTTTTAAAAATTATAATCGCGACGTAGAAGGATAATCATTACCAAATTTTACTTTGAAATGAATAAGGAAAATTTCTTTTGCCAAGGAAAAAAAGAACAGAATAAAGAAGACATTTTACTGTATTTCTTTTCTTAATTGATTCTTTCTTCTTTCACACATGTGAAATCAGCGTAGTTATGATCATCTGAATAATATTAATATCAAGATTTGTGAAGTTTCGTCCTGCTATTTTAGAATTGTCAATCTTGTAGATGATCCATTTCAAGAAATTGATTCGTAAATTCACAAAGATATTTTGTTCTCAAAACCTTTAGCGAGCCCGAAAAAAATAAAAAAAATTTGGCATTTGTAAAAAAAAAAAAAAAATGCTGTTTTTGGACATATATAGATCTTGAGATTCACCAATCATTTTTAATTTTTTATTTTTTTATAGATGTAAAAAGTTATTACATGGTTTCATTCGGTATAGAGAAGGAAAATGATTGTTACTCAGAAAGTTTGTTATTTATTTATTTATGACGCAACAAATTATTGTTCAAAGATGATCGTGAAAATGATTGGTTTAGGAAAATGTTTTACAAGGATTGCATACTTTTTAATAATGAGTACATGTTTATTTGGAATTAGCAATCGTAACTTAGGGCCACGGACCGCAAAAATGATTTTATTGACCGTGACTGCGGATCGGATCATGTTTATCATTGGTTAATTTCGGTAATTCAATGAAGCATAAATAAAGCAATTGATTCAATGAACCATGCAACTTTTCACAAATAAGGATTTCAAAAAAGAAAATATAAATAAAAATTCGAATCAGAATAAAGTAAAAAAAATAAATATATATATATATATACTCTTCTTTTTTGTGGTCTATTTTTTTTTCTCGTTTTTTTTTTTTTTGGGCGAGAGAAACAAAAAAAATATATATATATATAATCAAAAGATAATTTATAAATAAAACGCCCAATAATACGGATCAACGCATGAATTTTTGCAGATAATGTACCCAAGAATTAATCCTACCAATTAAACATTATTACAGAAACAAAGAATCAAGCTTTAAATGAATTAGATCAAAAAAATCAAAAGTACGACAAAAGATTGCCCATCTTGTCTAAAACAAGATTCTAATTAATTAAAAAAAAAAGGGAATCTTAAACTCGAAACAACTTGTTTTGTTCTTGAAACGTAATAAATTCATTCCCTAAACATACAAAAATAATTTTTCTTAGTTACACCTACTTTGGTATATAAAATTTTTTTTTTTTCGTTTGAAAAAAAAAAATGTCACAAAGTAATGATATACTAGAAGCCGTTTCACAAGCATCCGAGTGTACGACGAATTATATAGCATATGCTAGAGAATCTACGATCGAACCTGAGGTTACTAAATTATACCTTGACAATTTAAATTCCATTAAAGAGGCGGTTAAACCCTACTTACCCTTATTCACCAACGTTAACTCAATTATACAAGATATTGTCAACGCTTACGAAAATGCGCAAATTAACAAGAAGATATGTCTAACGTTGATTAATCGTGCCGAATCCGTCAGTTTAATCGTCAAACAACTTGAAAGAAGGAAATCCGAGAATTTAGAAAACTTTCGTAACAAAATGTTTTATCAATCATTCCTTCGACTATTTAACATATTGAAACGTATGGATAAATTTATTCAGGATGTCACATTACTATCGAACATTAGAAAATTGACCGAAGTTTATAGTATCAAAAAACAATTTCGTGAGATTATCGAGGATTTTGATAATGTCATAGAAGAATTGGATTGTTTACACGTGATATTCAACACCGACGAACAACGTCAAGAGGATTTAAAGGTTTTTAGGTTAGAATTTAATAACGTAATGAAAGTAAGTGAGAAAACGTACCAATTTTTTTTTTTTTTTTTAAAAAAAAAAAAAAAATTAAAATTAAAATCTCTACCTTCTTTTTAAATAAAGTTTTTCGAGACAATCAACAGTGGAGTGGCAACGATAATAACACAAAATAATCATATAAATTATCAAGTAAACACCACAATCTTGGAACTCATACTTTTAAAATGCAAAGTACAAAAACAAAACACGAATTTTGATGACAAATGGAAACCAAAGTTAATGACGAGCGATGAGCTTCAAGACCCTCCCAGTGATGATAATGATAAGCAACCAACGGGAACGGTAAAATATTTAAAGAAAATATTTAGGCGAGAAAAGAAAGTTTCATTAATTCCGGCAGACTCAATACCTTATGTTACGGTTGATTATCAGAAACATGTCATTATTGATTATATTAAGATGAAATTAGGAAATGAGTGCAAGCACATTCATCAATTTTATGGAATGGCGAAATTAAATCAAAATTTTTATGCGGTTTATGAATGGACCGAGTTGGGAAAATTATCAGAGGTTTATGAGAAGTATGAACTTGATTGGTCCACAAAATTGAGGATTGCTTCGGACATATTATCTGGGTTGATTTTTTTGAACTGCTGTGATATCATTCATAAGAGTATTAGATGTGATAATATTTTAATGACTGAAAATATGAAACCAAAGATCACAAACATCAATTTATTTATCAATAAAAATACTTCTAGCAATAATAGCAATGCTTATGCAAATTGGTTAAAAGATGTGTATTACCTAGCTCCTGAAATAATAGACATCCAAAGTTATTCAAGGAGGTATACAACAAAATCTCAAATATTTAGGTAGGTCTTTTGTATCTTAACTCCCTGCCTTTTTGTGTTTTTACATTAATTTTTTATCTTTATTCAGTATTGGAATGCTTCTATGGGAACTTGCATTTCAAAGGATACCATACAAGGATTGGCAAATTGCAACGGTGCAAAATCATGTGTTAAGTGGCAAGAGGGAGGAAATTAACCTTGGTGTGGACCAGTCTATCATTCAACAAGGTTTTATAAATCTAATCGAAGCTGGTGAGATATTGAATTGTTTCCTTTAAAAACGAAGAATGTGATCCTTTTTTATTTATTTCAAATTTTTTTTTTTTAAATATAAAAAAAAGCATGGCAGCAAGATCCAGATGATAGACCAGATATCATCACATTCTTTGATATGTTGTATGCTTTATATAGCAATTATTATATGGGAGAAAATAATTCATTACAAAAGAGGCCAAGTTCTATGATTAGTAACAATATCAAGGTTCCCAAGAGAGATGTTTTATGTACAAACTCAAATGTCATTATAAAAACAAACAATAATCAACAGATCAATAATGTCATCTTGAGAAATAACATCCCGCCTCAGGAATTCCATTCCCCAACCGATTCCACGTCTACTTCTTCTTCTTCTTCTTCTTCTTACTTTTCGTTCAATCAAAATTACAATACGGTTGTGCCAATAACTTCATTATCCGATGGGATTAATGCACATAAAAAAGGAGATAAGGAAAAGGCATGGAAATGTTTTGAAGCGAATGCGCAATTAGGCAATATATCGGCGATCTATTGGCAAGGTTATTATTTATGGGAAGGGTATTATACTTCGGCTGATCATGTACGCGCGATCAACTGTTATAAAGAAGCCGCAAAAAATGGTCATGCTGATGCGCAGTTAAGGTACGCCTTTAGTGCTATTAATAGAGAGAAGATGAACCTTAAAGGTTTTTTGAAATTTTTGAAAATGTCTGCAAATGAAGGTAACGCTTTGGCTTTATTTAATTTGGGTGATGTTTATTTGCATGGAAAATTCGGTGTGGTTAAAGATGAGGAACTTGGTATCAAATATTTGAAAGTTGCCGCCGTTTTAAAACAACCCAAAGCTATTGAAATTTTAAAAAGTCTTAATGTTACCGACACTTTTTATTTATAAAATTTTTATCAGAATCGGTTGTAATCATTTAGGGTTTTCTTTTTCTTATTTATTTATTAGATTTTTTCCTTTATTTAATAAAAGAATCTGTCGTTCTTTTTTAGTTTTATCCATATATTTATTTATTTAACTTCTAATTTCTTTATTCCTTTTCCTTTGCTTAATTAATCTTACGATTGTAAAATATTTTCCATTAAAACCTTTTAAGAAATTAAATAAACGAAACGCATTAGTACAGCATGTTACCTTTTCAAAGTTAACATTTCATCTTCAACTCCCTTCTCCAAGCTCTTTTTCTATTTTTTTTTTAAAAAAAAATGTATTATAAGCATATTTATTTATCAAGGTGCTTGTCCTTTAAGTCGCCATCAGAACGTATCTGGGCCAGTAAAAATTTCTGATTAGAGAAAAATACTTTCGTAATAATAAATGTATGAATGATTATTTAAGGTTAGAAGAATAATTGCATATTATCAATTAAAAAAAAAAAAAAGAAAGAAAAGAAAAAACCTCGCGTCGAAGGTAATTGAAAAATACACGTTTTCATCTCCACGTGATCTCAAATAATTTGATTAATTTCGGCCAAGTTCTATAATGCCGGCCAAAAAATCATTGGTAAAATCACGTGATAACAAGTTAGGAACGCGAAACGTGCTTTTTTTTTTTTTTTTGTTCCCCCATTAATCTTTTCTATAAAAGTCGATAATTCTTGCATTGAAATGGAGGATACGGTTTCAGAAAAGAATTATTGTAAACCGATATTTACATAAACCCTTTACGTATGGAATTTGACGATAAATTGAATTGAGCCCTTAATTCATCTAGTCTCTTTTTTTTCGGCCTTTCTTTTAGCATATTTAAAATTTTTTTTTTAATGCAACATGATGTGATATTGCCAAGTATTTGAAGTGCATTTACGTTAGATATGGCTGAAAAAAGAATGTGTTGCACGAAATCTTATCGATGCAAAGACGGAGCATTTCCTATAATGATGTTTCTAAATTATTTATTTGTATTTTTCAAACCAAACCAAAAATGAATCGTAAAATGAATTTGTATGCATGCAAAGTAATCATTGTACATTCAAATTAAAACATAGAGATAAGCCCTTTCGCGTTTGTGGCTTGCACAGCATTAACATCGACATCACATATACGTACTGTCAACCATGAAAGAAATTGCCGAATGGTACGCCACCGCATTTTAGCTTTTTTCCCCCGTGCCACATCTTTTTTTTTTTGTGGTTTTTAAAGCGCCAACAATATTAAATAATCCTCCCACGAATAAGATAATAGCGCCTTTTTACTAATAATAGAAGTTTCTGTAAATTGATAATCTAGACAATAATCATCTTACCTCCATTTTTTTTTATTTTAAAAAAATATATGAATTGTGTCATGATTTGCGTAGGTAATAAAATGTTTCGAAATGCAATTGTGCATTTGGAATTATGACAAAACGTGTTGCTAAAATTGGAATTTTCATACTAAAATCTTCGAAAATTAAGAAGAAAAATGATTTTTCCCGGCATTTTAGAAATAATCATTAATAATAAAAAAATTATATCATTCCCAATTCCTTTTAACGTTTATTCGAAATGCAACGTGTCTATTTTTTTATTTTTTTTAAAAAAAACCCGACTATCGTTGTTAGCGTGTCATTTAATGTCGGATTAACCTTAATAAAATTACTATTATCGTTAGAACGGATCACTAGAGGGTAAATCCTTACCACTTAACCACAAATTCAAAAAATTGAAATGAAAAGACCCTTATAAACATTTGGAGTTCATTTTTTCACACACTTAACCGGCTAAATTACTTGTAGCTTAGGATTTCTATTGTTGTTTCTGGTTGATTGACTCGTTGGTATATTGTTCTTACTTACGATCCAACCATGAATAATGTCGATTAACATACATGGAAGTGAAGAAATGGTTTGATTTTGGTATACGATAACAATAAAAACAATGCATTTTTATTATCGAACTAAAGGACACGCGAAGTGCGATTTCGAACTAAATTTTTCATTGTCTTTTTTTTTTAAAAAAAAAAAAAGAAAAGAAAAGCTTCGAATTTCTTGAATTCTTGTAAAAAAAAAAAAAGGAGAGAGAAAAAAACGAAAAAAAACGAAGCGTAGAAAATTTCCAACCCCTTATCAATTTAATGACTTAATAATTCTTCCAATTCTATCAGTCACACATTTCTTTATAGTAGTTGTATAATTTATTATTATTGATCCCCAAACGAAAATTTCCATATAAAGTATGAAAAAAGAAAATAATGATTTCAAAGCACATAAAACGAACCATGGAAGAATCCGAAGTCTTGGTGATACCCCAATAAGGATTCAAGGATCAATGGATTGTGACTCCTTTGTTTTCGATTCCCAAATTTTAAATTTTTTTTTTTTTTTTTTTTTTTGTATGCCACAATATATATGTCATAGTTACGACAAGATAGAGACAACCAAACTTAATTCAGATATTCAGATAAACAGTCAAAAATTCTAACGACGGTTTTATTTTTATTTTTTTTCTATTAATTTTTTTTTTTTTTTTTTCCTGTTTCTTTGCCCTTTCGTTTCCTGTTTATTTATTATTTTGTTCACACGAGATAATTATTTTAGAGTGATAAATAAAAGTATAGATAATATGTCAAATAGAATATTAATAAAAAAGAGTAAGGTTACGTTGAGTCAGCCTCCACTTGTAATTGGCCGAGGGGCAATGGGAGAAGTATACTTGGCCACTTTTCAAGGAAAGTCTGTGGTCGTAAAAAGGAGTCAGGTAAAGAAGGAACAGCATGAAGGAAACTTTTTACCTTTTTATTCATTTATTTATTTATTTAATTTTTTTTTTTTTTTATACAGCGAGAAATAGATATTTTATTAAAGGAATATAGTAACTACTTCAAATTACAAAATCACAGCAATATACTAAAATTCTTCGGAGTGATAAGAGAAGATCGATATTCTTTTTCATTGGTATTGGAATACGCGCCCAATGGAAATTTATCGAGTTATCTTAAATCTCATACAATAGCGTGGAGTGATAAAGCAAGAATTTGCAGAGACATAGCACTCGGACTAATGCATTGTCACGAAAATAATGTGCTACATTTCGATCTTAAACCCGAAAATGTCTTGCTGGACCGGGATTGCGTTCCAAAGTTGGCCGATTTTGGCATTTCCAAGACCAAGAGTCAGATGGTGTTGGATCATGGAAAAGCTGGTGGTACCATTAATTATGTGGCACCGGAACGCGTATGTAGAGAACTTAAAATGAGAGAATTCTTTGACAAGTAAGGCATCCCCCTTCGTATTTCTTGGTTCGAATAATATCCCATGAAATATGCAGCTGATTTATTTTATTTCCGTCTTATAATTAGCCATCCAAAACTTTCCGACATATATTCATTTGGGTTGATATTGTGGTCAGGTAAACAATCATTTATTTCACGAATTAATCCTTCTTATGTTACGCATCGTTTGAATTTAACTTTAAAAATGAATGATGTAGTTGCCAAGGAAGGAGTGCACCCTTACGAAGGAATGGATGATGATGAGATTAAAGAATATAAAAGATCGACTCGCGCAATGTATGATTTGTTGGAACAACTTCCTTCGGACACACCGCAAATTTACAACCAGCTTATATTTGATTTGACGCAATACGTTCCGAGCGAAAGACGTCAATTGACATTCGCACGCCTCGAATTGGAATCCTTATTCGACGACGATGACGACGATGATGATCGAATGATCGAGTACAAAGATAATTTACCCGTTGATGATTTGGATTCTTCTGATGATGATTTTGATGGTTCCGTATCAAGCAGCAAGCCAGTATCCACATCCACGACAATTGAAAGCGAAAAAAGCACACTCGCAAGTGACAAGGACATAACATTTTCTGAAACATCAACAGAACCAAGGCCATTAAGCATATCATCAAGCATTTATCGAAATCCCATTCGTAGTGGTAGCGCACCTGTTCCATCATCTTCATCATCCGATAATGATGATAATAACACTTATAATCTTATTCTTGGTAAGCCAATCGTTACTTCCCCAGCGTCCAACGAGGATGATAACCCAATGGGAATCGTGATTCCCCCAATGGATGCTATTCTTAATCGTGACATCAGGCGGGATAGTAAAGGTAGTTACAATAGGCGAGATAGCGATTGTAGTAGGTATAGACGTGATTCCGGAGTTGATCGAAAATCACAGTGTACGTTGGTTGGCTCGCCGTTAACCCCTAAAACTCCTCCATTTGAAAAAGTGATCTTAAAAATTTCAAATGTGGATCAAGAATTGATGGACGGTGTTATCAGCATATGTGATCATTGGGAAAATGTCACTGATGACGTTTTGAAAAGAAAATTAGACAATCTATGCTACGATAAAAAGAAGAAACCCAAAGATATATTAGCACTCTTCGAAAATTACCCATCAAAGTCCGCCGATTATTATTTTGCTGTCGGATTCATGAATGAACATGGATTTGGAAAGGTCAAAGACCCGACGTTGGCCTTTGAATATTATTCTAAAGCGGCGGATTTAGGTGATCCAAGAGGATTGGTCTTTGTAGGTTGGTGTTATTATAAAGGAATGGGAACTTCCAAGGATCCGATTAAAGCGTTTAATAGTTTCCAAAAGGCAGCAGACAATGGAAGTGTTTCAGCACACAACAATGTGGGTTGGTGTTATGATATTGGATTTGGAACCGAAACGGACCCCTATAGAGCTTTTGAATGCTTTAAAATTGCTGGAGATAAAGGATACGCGACAGCGCAATGCCGCATTGGAGTATGTTATGAATATGGAAGAGGAACAATGAAAAGTTTAGAGAGAGCTCTTGAATGGTATACTAAAGCGGCTAATAACGGACACGAAACTGCAAAAAGAAGAGTGAGTGAATTATCCAAAATACTTCGTCGTGAACACAGCAGAAGGAGAAGCTTTTGGGTTAGTAATCTTATTACATATTAAGAAATTTTTTTTTTTTTTTGTTTTTGTTTAAAACAAATAAATTCAAGCCTAAAAGGAATAGTCGTCACTCGTTAATTTTTTTCATGATTAGGAACGAATATTGTATGGTCCCTTGAGATCTAGCACAACTTAATGAAGTGGATTATATAACATCATATCCTATCCAAGCATCTCTTTATTTCGCGCGCACGTTCCTCCGGTAGTGGTATTTGAAACAACAAACATATTTATCATATATTTTTCGTATTATTTATTTTTCTCCCCGATCTGGCGATCGTAAAAAAAAAAAAAAAAAAAAAAAATCTTGCTGTTGTGTATTTGTTGAGGTCTTAAAGCGCTTCACTTGTATTATGTATTTTGTCTTAGTGTATTATTATTATATTATGGTTTTGTATTATCTAGAGTTAGATCTAATTATTTATGTAAGTTATAACGATGTATATTTAGCTTATGTAGTATTATATAATTATATATAGAAGCGCGTATTAGACCATATACAGTTACAAACAAATGTTCAGTGATTTCAAATCGTTTTGTATAATAGGAAAAACTTCCTATCCTTTCCTCATCATTCCTCATACTTTCCACTTATTTTCATTCGATTCTCTCTCCTCTTTTATGTATGTATGTATTATAACTATCCGACTTGCTCATTTTACAACAAAAAAAAAAAAATTTATTTTGATGGATAATATAAATTATTATTATTATTATTGGCTGATTTTTTTCTTGGCAAATTTTAGAATATATTTTGGAAATTTTTTAAACATTTTTGTATTAGCATTCTTTTTTTTTTTGTATTCACATTTTATAATTTTATTTACTTTATTAAATTTCTCATATAATACATAAAAAAAAAAAAAAAAAAATAAAAGCACAGGAAAAAAAAAAAAAAAAAAAACTAATGTACTGTACATTATGTCTATATAAAAGAAATTTTTTTATGATTATTCTTTAACTATGTTTAAAGGTGGTTGGGCTAAAACAACTTGTAATAGGCGTTCGCATTAATTCTTCGGAGATTTCTGGTTCATCAGTCATATTATCAGTTAAAATTGAGAGACTTTTAGATGGTGGTTCTATATTCTTGGAACTGCTTGTACTACCGTAATTATCCAAGCTACTATCTATCGAATGAAATTTTTTTTTTTTAACATAAGAAAATGTATATGAAACATATGAAATCCTAGTAGACGAACGATACTTACAATTAGAAGGAATGGAAAGTTCGTATTGTTTTATAATATCTTCATCCTCTGACTCTGGTTCTTCTTCGGGATAAACTGAACGTCTTTGCATAAGTAGTCCGGTTGAAAAGAAACTTTCATCTCGAATAAGTATGGCGGCTAAATCTTGATTGCTCATCTGCGTACGTCCGTAATCATGATCACTATGAGATTGAGATCGTCTGGGAATAGGTATTGGAGAATTTCTTGGAATGGGAAGGGCGGGAAATTTTAATAATCTACTAGTATAAATAGCTTGAGGGTGAATTTTAGGAGGAGCGACCATTCTACCAGCAGGATTAGGGTTTAACCCTTTAGCCAAAACCCTTTTAATTCTTTTTGATTCGGCATTAGTAAAATGATCCTTATCTTTTCCATAAACGTGCCATTCACTTAATATCTTTACAATTTCGGAAATTGTTGGTCTATCTTGAGGATAATAACTCCAACATCTTACCATCAATTCCCCATAACATTCGGGAGTATCATGACGTAAATTTGGTCTGAATCCATTACAAATTGAAGCGATGAGCTTTGCATCATGAGGTTGATCATAAAATGGAGGTCGATTTGAAGAAAATTCCCACATAAGCATCCCGAATGTATAAACATCAACCTTTGGATTATACTCTTCCCCATCGATGATTTCAGGTGCGATGAATGGTAAGAGATCATATCTATAATGTCCAATAACTGGAATCAATTCCTTTCCTTCACCTAAACCTAATTCATTAACCGAAATTTCAATATGAGATTTTATCGTATGTTGAGTCAATTTCTCGCTTTTCACGATCTCTAAAGCACTCACGATCGTGTGTAAAATGGCTAATTTATTTTGCCATGTAAGACGCGTGTGATGATGTGAAACGTAGTGACGTACGTCCCACTCCACCGTCTCCGCCACCATCATCAGATTACTCGTAACTGACTCTCGCGTCACGCCAAAAAGACGCATAACAAGTCCATTATACATACGCGAATGGTAATGCATTTTAAGCTACCCTCCCATTAAAAAATATATTAAAAAAAAAAAAATTTAAAAATTAGGAGGAATTCGATTAATAAGGTTTGAAAAGCAAAAAAGAACTTACCTCCTTCAAGAAAAGTGAAGGGGAACCACCGAGGGAAGTTAATGCGACCTTAAGCAAACCCCTTCTAGCAACGTATTCACCTTCTACCGGATCCCAAGTATCATTCGGACCTTTAATCCAATTTGCGGTAAATAAGGTTCCAACTTCGGAAATTTCTGATTTATTGACATTGATAAAAGCTGAAAATGGGATCCATTCAAGATATTGGTCACATTCTTTGGCATTCATTTGGGTTTGTTTAATAAAATCATCAATACTTTTATCTCCTGTAGACCAATTATCAAAATTTTCCACAAAATGCCTTCGTTGACAAGATTCACACCACCATGTATGATCTCCTAAACGTTGGTCACATTCCGGACAATAATGCCTTGAGCTCATAATATCTTGTTAAGAAAAAAATTTTTTTATTTTTTTTTCTTTCTTTAAACCTTTGTTGAAACGGTTTAATTTATAATTGAAGGGGAAAAAAAAAGTTTAATCAGATCTTTTGTAATCCTGATTTTTTATTGTCGGAGTGATCTAATTTAGTTATAACATCATTTTGTTATCATGCGCAATTATTAAATATGGTAACATGTAACCAAATTTGAGTTTAAAAAATACAAAGTTTTACAATGCAACTCAAGTTTAAATAATGAAATTTGGAGAGGAATTTTCGTACGACAATAAAAGAATTTTTGCAACAATCACAAACGGGGCACAAACAAGCTCTTGACAAAAAAAAATCGATAATAAACATACCCAGATTTGGTGAACAAGTTCACGTGTCATGAGCAAAAGTAAGAACAAAAGGGAACGTTATTCGCAAAAAGTCAGGTGACTTTACCGTGTATCGGATACCGATCTCCTTTTTTTTATTATACAATCAGTATCCAAAATCACATGTGACCCGATAAACTTTCCGATATAACGAGGGTCTAAGATAAATTTATCCATGAAGAAAATTTAATGTCATTATTTTTTTGTAAACCAAATCGTTTTAACAAACAATTAGACAATTAAATTTTTGAACTGAAACCGATTGAGGGAAGAGACGTGATCAATTGATGGTGAAAAATGGCTAATATAAAAATTTGTTTATTGTTAAAAAATGGTTAATGGTATAAAATACTTTATGTTGAACTTTAATTATTCCTTTAGTTTAATGATTATGTTCTGACGTGATGATATTTAACGACATAATCGGCAAGTGGGTTCAAGAACCTAAAAAAAAAAAAATTTCTCTTAAAATCGATTAAATCGATTAATCATATGATTCATAACGTGATTTTGAAAAAAAAAACAAGCTTTAAAAGGTGATGGTACTTAGAAACGTTGGCCCCCTCCTCCCACTTTCAACTTTAAAGGGCAAACCAGGTCAACCGGTAGTCTCGTCATGCTCATGTGCAATCGCTAACGAGAGACACCACACACATCAGTGCATGACTATTTAACCTTTATTACAGTCTGACTTCGATATACCGATATATATTAAAATTTTTTGATGTATTTTCTCAGTATAATTTGGATATAACGATATTATTTCAAGATTCCCCGATTATTAATTGATACGCGTGTCCAATCGCAGCAATGTGGCACAGTAAATGATATAACGTAGGAGAATTTAAATGCACTTATTTCGGAAAAATATAAATGTGCATTTTTATGAAAGCTATACATGTAAACATATCATGTCAACATCCAACATCTTGAATGAATCTGCCGATTATCTACCAAAAATGTCCAAGCGTTGATCGTTATGAACCTCAACAATAAATATTGAGACCCTAATTGCATCAAATAATTTTATTCTTGAACTTTCCCGCAGATACTCAGGTTTTTACATATAAAAAATTACCTCTTCTTTGCATATGGGTAGCATCAAAGTTTTTCATTATAACTTTAAGCAGATCTATTGATCAGATTTTTGTAATGCGATCATATTAACGTAATTTCCCCAAAATGTATTCTAAATTGTTCCTGCAAATTATATAAAAAGGTGATGTCTCAGTTAGTGAATCCTTTTATCCGTCTCGTGCAAGTAAAATAAAAATCGAATGAAACTAATCAAATTAATCAAACTTACCATTATATTACAACACAAATATCAACAATCACAAAGTGATAATAAAGTATGTTGGTTTTGTTGATTAACTTGCTTCTTAGAACATGTCATCACGATGTTAATCGATTTTGATCGTCTGATCATCATAAAGTCAAGAGCAACAAATTTCTTGAATATGAGGCGGAGAAAATGAATCATAGTGGTGTGAATTGGAAATATTGATTATTTTTTTTTTACTTCAGTTGCTAATCTTCAGAATTTATGCATAGATTTGAAAATTTTTCATCTCTGTAAATGGGATGGGCGGGATTATTTATTTTAAAAATCTAGCGTAATATAAGAGTATGAGACTGAGAATCTCGTAGTTAGTGATAGGAAAAAAACAATTAGCTATAGAAATTTTTCGAGAGCAAAGAAATAACTTGATTAGACGCATTAAATGGCCTAGGATCCGCGCTCTTTGATAGCATCTTATATTTTATTCGCTTCTCTAAACATTTTCTGATTCACTATATATCTAAAAAAATCATTAATAAAGATTTCGCCCACTTAGGGCATTTAAATCCATTTTTTTTCTTTGTAATGATCAGAACCATGTAAACTCCACGTCGATTGGGTGACCAATAATAAAATAATAAATATGATCACATGATCTAGACCATATAACAAATTTGACATATAACGATAATATATA